CCCCCCCCCCCACCGCGACCATGCGCCTTTGTAGCTGGGCGCGAGATGCACTGACCATGCGGGCGACGCCATCTTCTTGGATCTCCACTTCGGCCCCCTCTCCGACCGACTGCTGGCATCGTGGCAGGCCCTCTATGCCGGCATTGCTGCCATGGTGGTCCTGCGCGTGTGGCCGCTGGCCGCCGGGTCCGGTCTGCCACCTGTCAAGGCGGTGCTGGCTGGCGGCTCCTGTCGGCGGCTGCTCGGTCGGTGGACCATCGTAGTGAAGACCGTGGCCGCGGTGCGTGGCTCCTTTGCATGCGATCCCTTTTGCCTCTGTCTATGTGTGTGTGTGTGTGTGTGTGTGTGTACAGGCGCGCGGGCGTGCAGATGCACACGCGTCCCCATGTGTCTGCTTGTCTGGGAGAGGGGCAGGCAAAGGGCGCGGGAGCCTGCCCCCCCCGCCCCCCCCCCCCCCCCCCCCCCCCCGCGATCGGACCCGGCCGTGTCTTCTCTAACGCAACGGCGTCTCTCCTCGGCTGGGCTCGCCCTGGGACGTGCTCGGCCACCGTGCGGGTCTCCCTGCCGACGGCCCGGCGGCCGGGACGACAGGCCTTTGCTTCGGCATCCTCGCTGCTGCTCGGCGTTGAGGGGCCGATCATCCAGGCCAGCGCGGCCGTGGCGTATTCCGTCAGCCGGGCCTTCCCGCGCCTCGGGGCGTCGGCCCTCCCCCGGCGGGACATGGCCATGGCTGGAGCCTGTGCCGGGGTGGCATGCAGCTTCCAGGCGCCCCTCGGCGCGGCGCTGTATGTCATCGAGGACTGTGGATACTTTGTCTCGCCGGTGGTCATGCTCAAGTGCCTGTGGACCGTGGCCGTGTGCCTGTTTTTCTACTCGGTGCGCGCCCGGCGGCCGCCTGCCATGCTGATGCCCCTTGCGGCCCGTGTGTCGACCACGACGCATGGGGTATTGCCCCTGTGTTTCCCTCTTCGGCTCTCTCCCTCTCTCCCTTTTTTCTTTGCCTCGCTGTCCCTGCATCGCCACGGCCTTTGGTCCTAACCACCGGGAATGCCTGTCACTGCTGGCGGGGTGCCGCCCACCGGGTGGCGGGGCTGGGGGGGGGGCGTAGTTCCTGGACCCCTACCGGCTCGGCGCCCTCGGGTCACGCTTCGCCGTGTTCAATAAGCCCCTGATCCCGGTGACTTGGAATTACATCGACCTGCCGGGGCTGCTGCTGGTGGGCCTGCTGACCGGGGCCCTGGGGGCCATCATCATCCGCCTGATCATGACCCTGAATCGGCTGCGCCGGCGGTCGCCTTTGCGCCAGGCCTTCGCGCGGTGGGCCTGGCCCGGCATCCTGGAGGCGTCCCTGGTGGCCATGATCACGGTGGCCTCGCAATTTTACTTCCCCCTGGCCTGGCCCGGGCAGGCGGTCCTTCTGCGGACGCTCTTCGGCGAGTGCTCCACCAATCCGGACAGCCTGCCGCTGGGCCTGTGCAAGTGCGTCCGCACGCGCGCGGGTCGCGGTGCCGGATCCAGACCCCCCTTTTGCCCGTTTCTTCCTTTCTTCCCTTCGCTCGGTCCCGATGTGGCGCTTGCCGCCGGCCGTGGCCTTTCCTGACCCGCCGCCTGCCACAGCTTCCAGGATGTCGGGGGTCTGATTGGGCGCCTGATTGGGGCCTTCTTCTTGAAATTCGCCCTGCTGGCCGTGTCGGCGGGCCTGCGCGTGCCGGCTGGCATCTTCATCCCCTCTCTGGCCCTCGGGGCACTGTTCGGCCGCATGGTCGGCACGCTGCTCGGCTACTGGGCCATGTGCGTGTGGGCTACTCTCAGCAAGTGGTGTGGCGGGCGAGGGGGAGCGGGGGGGGGGGGGGGGGGGGGGGCGGAGGGGGGGGGGGGGGGGTGGGCGGGGGGTGGGGGGTGGGGGGCGGGTGGGGGGGGGGGGGGGGAGGGGGGGGGGGGGGGGACCGGCGGGGTGGCGGGCAGCCGGGGCGGTGTGGGGGGTGAAGGACTGCATGTTGCAAGTACCCAGGGGGGGGGGATTAGTAAAAAAAATAATGCCGGAGG